TGGTCACTCAAAGAAAAGATATTGAATATAAAATACAATGGAAAATTCTTGCTCATGATAGCCCGTATAATAGCTCCAGCAAACAATGCATTTTATGTTTGAAGGAAAAATTTATCATAATTTTTAGACCCCTCCACACGAAACAAAAGAAATGAACTCGTGTCATCATGCCGACACAGATTAATAGCTCTAATATGTAACACTTAAACTTTCTATTTAATTTTAATTGATATGTTAATTTGCCAAGCTTATAATGTATGCTCTTTGGTGCAGTGAATTATTAAACATAAAGCTCCTGATGAGTGAGGTACTTGTACCTTACGAAACAGTGCTGTCGAGTTTCAATATTCATGTAGTTGTGTATTAATTCCTCTATCACCGTATTCACCCACTCTACATAAACTTTGTATTGAGCACTTTTGTTTTGGAATAATCGACTTTCGTATCTACACTATATATATATATATATATATATATATATATATATATATATATATATATATATATATATATATATATATATATATATATATATATATATTATGATTATCTATTTCTATTTCTATCAATAAGGTTGGTCTGCTATTGATGTGAATAGGTGTTGTTTATATTCACTGATTGTTTGATATGCAATGATACACGCACAATCACAGTCACTTGTAAATTACAATTTCCGTATTACTGTTTTTTATTTTCATCGAATGTATAATTAATATGCTGCAAAATCAGAATTTTTAATTTATGGTAAATCAAAACTCTAGTCTTCAAGTATTAAAAAAAAAAAAAAAAAACTGTTAAGATTTAAAGTCACACATCTAAAGAAATCACTAAATCATAAGTCCATCTCTTAAGTCTTGACAGTGATGGAGCGGCATTTAATTAACCTTTTCACCACCAGACTTTCTCGCTCAAATTTTTCAGCCCTTTTTTCTTATATTCTTCAATATTTCTGGAAATGAAACCTAATTTTTGAGCCAACAGAATTTGAGTCAGTTTTGACTCATTAAATAATAAATCATAGTAATCATTAAATCTAAAGACCATCACCTGAGTCTTGACAGTGATGGAATAGTCCTTAACTCTCTTTAACGCTGCTTGATATGTATCATTTAGATGATCTTAGCACAAGAAGCCATGACGCATTTTAATACCACTTTAATCGTTCTCTAGGTAATAAGATTCAAGGGCATTATTTTACAGTTAAGGAGGATGTTCATATGTAATGAATGAGTTCATATAGTATAAATTACTAATTGCATATTATCCAGAGAATCTCAGATGCACACACTATGAATATACAAGTATACTGTTACTATGGCAATTGCCATGGCAATGTTTCCACAAAAAAATGAAATAAACGTATCACAGAAAATGTATTAAAACAAACTTATTGGTCTGCTGTGATTCAAAACGGGATATTATGAGGATTTGGTTATAATGGTAGAGATTTTCAAGCTGCCACATAATAACACTGTGCAAATCTTACACAATGCACACGGAAATTAACATGTAATGATTAAGTGGCATAAAAGATAATCATTGTTTACTGTGTTCAATTTGTTGTCAATGGTTATCATCACCATCACAACTATTTCTCAATGCAGAATTTTATTTCATTAGAATCAGAATACCATAGAATGATACTCTAAAAATTTATTTACGATTGTTAAATATATTTCTTTCCTGTCATTTTGTAGAACTTTTAGAATATTACCTTGAATTTTATTAACTCTTCACATATTATATTCCGTGTAATTTCAAATTAAACATATTCAATATGTAATTTATGTCCAATAATTAAAATAATAATATTTCTTCAATGAATGACAACTGTTTGTTTTTACACAAAACCAGTTTATATAATTGCTTCCTTGGCAAAGTATTAGTATGATAAAATGAAATCAATATTTAAAGCTTGTGTTTTATGCACATAAGATTATATCGAAGGACTATGTTTTCTTGAAAATTTAATTTGATCCTCGACTATATAGGTACTGTGTTATATTTGATGACGTGTGTATTTCAGTTCAGATTGAAAATGAACTTGACCCTACTTATAATATAATAAAAACTGTATTGATTTGACTAATGCTTTTATTATGTTGCGCTAATCCTGTTGAAATGAAGTTAATTAATTAACATTGACTTTACTTGTCAGTTGACACGCTAAACACACACGATATTCAACAGGTGGTTTTTAAATAGATGTCTAATTTGCATAGCACTTCAATTTATTGAATACCTGATATCAACAACAAAGCTAGGACAAATGGAGAAAAATATAGATGGCATAGTAATATTGTAGCCATGATGGCAACTCAACTCTTACCGGTAATTGTCAACCATTTTAAAAGTAAAATTGATCACCTAGTGAATAGAATAAAAGTTAAAAGCTTTTATGAAATAAAGATGGCTGTAGGGATGATGGTTGTTTTTAAAGTGTTTTAGGAACATGAAAACTGCATTAAAGCAATTATAGTTGATAATAGTCATGTTTTGTAACTACTTTGACTGTTTAATTATACTCTTTCATTGCATCGATTTTTGTGGTTTGATTTTGAATGAAGGGAATATACCGGTAGGTCTTTATTACATATAATGAGTTATTGATTGGTTGCTGTGATGGAGTACTATCAAACCATATGCTGTCTTCAATGAAATTGATCACACATTAAAAGTATTTCGATGTAACTAGTACCATAATAGACAGTTTCTGTTCTATTCCCTGTTAGTGGGTATGTGCAAAAAATAAAAATGTATTGCAGAGAGCCCTGATTGGTTGATCAGTAGATGTACTTTTCTGTTGATTCTGTTGTACATGCCATCAATTCTTTGCCTGAGGCTTGTACAATTTTTTTTAGAAGATGTGTTATACTGACTTTAAAAAAATTCTTGTTTAGTTGATTTGATTTCATATCATATAATCTGTCAACGAGAAGCCAATTCCTGTTATGGAAGCATATTAATCAACAATATATATATATATATTACATGCTGGATTATTAAAATATAGCATTAATGTAGTTTTGCCATGTATAGACGAAGATATATAATTTACATATGCCCTACTAATAGAGCAAAAATACAGTGGTATGATATTTATGAAACTGACTGTTTTTACTATTTACTATCAAGTGACAGTTTATTCATGGTTTGCTGTGATATAGCATTGAAATGAATTGATTAAAATTGTTACTTTACGTCAAAGAAATATCTTCTTTCAGGAAGGAATATGAATACTGCATGTGTCATCAGCATTTTTGTACATATAGAGAGATTTGGCTGTCCCTGGTATAAAATCGTTACAAATAAAAGATAAATATGTATAGTTTCTAACGTATAGTTTGAAACCCTTTGCAGTGAGTGCTGATATACACATACTGGTACAGCCCAATATTTTCTGTTGAGTTTCTCAAAGTATATCTCATGAATATTCTGCATGTCTTTAATTGTTCTTTTTGTTACAGGCTGCAAGGAATATCATGAGTCCCAAGTCAGCACAAACTGCAGAGGCTTGGTTGAAAGTTGCAAGTAAACCAGGTAGAACTTATATTCACCATTGAGGGTGCTATATTATTACAAATATATGTGCCTCCCGGTATACAATATTTGAGTAGCGCAGTAAATACATGCACACTTGACTTGAAATTTTGAGTAGCATGGCAATATGATAGAAAACAATAACAGATAATTAATATAATATATTATTTTTCTTGATTAACATGAACAATATATGTATATATATTCAATAGTTAGTGTTGAGTTCTCTCAGATGTTTCAAATCAAGAGTTACTACTGCAGGCCATCACAAATTAATACACAAGTCATTTTCAGCTTTAGTTCTGTATCAAAAATAATATACTGAGAAGGTGTATAAAATTGTTGTGAAACACAAGAAACAATTTTTCTTTGTACACATTAATAATTCGGAACAATTATTTGAAAGATATCTGTTAAAATTACAAAAACTACAGCAGAGATACTTATGTGTGCATGATTATGAATCTGCCTTCACGCACTTCTGTCATGCAATTGATACTAGTATTTGCTCAGTGCTTTAACTCCAGAGAAGTGAAAACTATATTCTACTATTTCATTGCAGAACATTTCTTGGAAAAGCACTGAAACTATTAAAGGTAAAGTTTTGAACTACAACATCTTTATTTTTAATTTTGTAGATCGAGAAAATGCCACTCAGATAATATTGGATGCTAGTAACAAGAAATATGCTGATGATGCAGTAACAGAACATGTGAAGCCACAGTTCCAACCTTCCATTAGAAGGTATCTAAAAGGTGCTGGAGCTGAAGGCAAGTCGCATAACAAGTCAACATTTATTTCTCTCAGAAAAGTGTTTAATTTGATTGAATCCATATACATACCTTTGAAAACCACTGCTGGAAAAGGAAGTGTTGCTGTATTTATGTGTATTTTTCATTATCAGGAAATTTAAACCGATCAGCGGGGAAATAAAAAAGCACTAATATGGAGAATAAAAACAGAACGTTTCGGGTTTCCACCCACTTTCTTTTTGTACACCGCCCCATGATGGTGTCTCTGATATGACTGTTACTGGCATTTTACATATCAATCATTAATATTCAAAATTGGCACACTCAGTCCAGCTCACTGGCATCAATTCACCTCATTTCCTTTGCCTTGATTGGCTCTTTATTGTGTTTGTATGCTTTATAGTGAGGTGTTTTTCTGTCTTGTGTCCCCTTGTTGAGGAAGGGTTGAACCCGAAACGTCCTGTTTATATTCTCCTTATTAGTGCTTTTTTATTTCTATGCTGGTCGGTTTTATTGTCCTGTTGTTTCAGTACTATAGCAGATTTTACTGACTCTTGTATATTGTTCTATGATAATAATATTGTCTTGTTTCTGTACCTACATAAAAATTTCCTCCTTTTGGCCATTTTTAATCAAATCACTAAACAAACTGACATGAACTTGTAACTTATCATGAGTGA